CCCCCCCCTGACATTTGACTCCATATCAATCCATCATCACATGTCAAAATCTACCAAAAGTATACATTTTTGTAAAGTTAAATATCTGTAGATTTCATTCAATGTAAAATACATCAACAGTTACCTATTTCAATGATTAAATGTTATTAATTTATAGGCTTATTTAGTTGTGCGAGAATAGTCCTTTAATATTAACCACATTTCTGGTGTCTGTACATGTCTCCGTAGACTGTAATACTCTATTTACAGATTCAAGTTCTCTCCATGTAGAGCTTTTACTCTTTTCAACCTCTGTCCAGGGTTCAATGATCTTAATTCATGAATATAAAATTTGAAGTATTGCAAGTAAGTTTTGTTTATTAACAAGAGTAAAGTAATATCCTATAAAGGCAGTACGTCTCATAGATGATAACAAAAATAACAATATCACAGCTACATGTATACCGGCTACATGGCCAAACTCCCAACCCTACTACTATTCATAGACGGACGGCATTGTGCCTATATAAATCTACATAATAGGACCATTACATTAGGAGAATTTAAATCTACAGGCCTTCTCCCTAGATACCGTACCTATAGTTGGGTAGCACTACATAAAAGAGCGAGTCAGACAGTCATGACACTTGGAAACCTGACTGACGACCTTGACTAGCTTGCCAACTTTTATGCTCAACAGAATAGTGCTCAAAACGATCAGTTTAATTTACATCTATTTCTCAACTTTTACATTCCTCCCTCCTAAAGACAAATGTTCACAACCATTTTGGCAAATTCCATGCACAATTGGGAAATTAAAAAAGAAATGTTAAATACAATCTCATAAATAATCCTTTACTTTCAACAAGAGGCCCAGGGGCCTTAATAGCTCACCTGGTATTTTATTTTTCAATTTAAAACCTGCTGAGTACCATTCAGGTTTATCAAAGGAGTACAAGTAACAAAGTTGCATCTTCCATTTATAAATATTCAATTCCCTTTGCCCAAAGATTCTCTAAAACAAGTTTGGTTAGGTTAAAATCCCTTCAACGGTACAGAAGGAGAAGGATCTTTAATGTTTTCCTCTATTTCCCCTAATGGGCCCCACTAATCTGCCCCAAAGAAGGGGAATCCACACACCTCAGTTTAAACAAAATTGATTCTTTTCTCCCTAAGCATGCTTCAGACTGCATTTGGTTTAAATCCCTTCACTTGTATAGTAGGAGAAAAAAAATCCTCTATTTCCCCTATTGGGCCCCGCTCCTATGCCGCCAGAAGGCCCACACCCTCCGTTTATACAAACTTGAGTCTCCTTTGTCCAAAGATGCTCTAGGACAAATTTGGTCAAAATCCTTCAATTGGTTGAGGAGAAGATTTTTAAAGATTTACCTATTTTCCCCTATTTGGCCCCGTCCCTCTGCCCCCAGGGGGACCATACCCTCCGTTCATACAAAACTGAGAACCCTTTGGCCAATGATGCTCCAGACNCACACCCTCCGTTTATACAAACTTGAGTCTCCTTTGTCCAAAGATGCTCTAGGACAAATTTGGTCAAAATCCTTCTATTGGTTGAGAAGAAGAAGATTTTTAAAGATTTACCTATTTTCCCCCTATTTGGCCCCACCCCTCTGCCCCCAGGGGGGTTATACCCTCCGTTTATACAAAACTGAGAACCCTTTGGCCAATGATGCTCCTGACCAAATTTGGTCAAAATCCTCTGAGCCATTCAGGACAAGTATCATTTTAAAGGAAAAAGTTGACGGACGCCGGACACCGGACGCCGGACGACGGACGCTGCACCATGGGATAAGCTCACATTCGGGCCATGTGAGCTAAAAATCACCAAATATTTACAACATGGTGAAATCATTGGAAAAATGTACAAAGATTCCAATTTACATAGACGTATATATTTCTGGGAAAACACCCTAGCTATTCACAATATTGTGCACTATCAATTTCACAACATACAGTTACACACCATGTTAGCACAATCAACTCTTCTGACACACAGGTACAAGTATCAACCCATATGCATAAGATTTCACTCGCAGAAGGATTAATCTTCAATTGCCACTTTATATAAATTCCAAAAATATACTATTCAAACAAGATAGACATCAGGTTCATAATCAAAATTCAGTTTATCAATGACATCAACATCGATTTATTCTCAATAATACTAACATTTATATTTATATCATATTTTGAAATCCCCTTAGAGGCGACCAACTAACACCTCAAAATATATCATTTAGTTCAACAATTGTGGGGCACATATAAATTGACAACATGATGATAATCCCCCTTGTAACTAATTACTGTCAAACTCTTTAAAGTTCACATCCACAGGATTGTACCACTCCTGGGAGATGGGCCTTCTGGGAAGCCAACGTGACCGATCACGGATCAAGCCACGCCCATGACCAAGGGGCAGAACCTCTTGGGTCTCCCACCACTGTGACTTGCGGAACTGTGAGGGCAGCACCCCTCTGGGCTTCCTACCGCGGGTGCACAGCTTCCCTCCTCCTGACGGAGGGCCATTGAAGCAGACACCCTCACACTAGGCATGAAGGTGTCTCCCCAAGTTAGTATCCTCCTTTCCCATCACCGCACTTCTCCTTCTAGCCTCCTCCAAGGTCAGCCGATGTCAATAACATAATGTAGCTGTACCTGATTCCTCCGCGGCAACCTGAATGCACATTGATTACAATGAAAATACATCACTGTTGGTAGTTGGATGTGAATCCCAGAGCCTCTTCAGGGCGTGAAATCTGTTATAGATCTGAAGCCCACACTCGGCCATAATGCATGCCATGCCCTCCAGGTTGAACGCAGACCATCATTCACCTCCTCAACCTCCTGTAGTTTTACTGTTATTTGTAGAATATCCATGTCCATCCGAGTCGTAGCTGTTACCGCAAGCTCATCCATACCAGGTAATTTTCTAACAAAGAAAAAGGTACAAAGATTCAATTAAGCTTATTATTACACATACCATATATGTACCTCAATCACAAAGTGAAGCGAACCCTCATTACCCAGCATGATGTTACTGCTTTTTATTTATTTATTTATTTAGGACACAAGATGCCTACATTTGTCACACGAATAATTGAGTTATTTTTCTTTATTATATGACCCTATGGAGAGTACCAAGACAGAGGCTTGATCATCCTGCCTACTCTAGTTTGACATGGAGTTGTCTCCCCTGGACTATCACTGTCTAACTGCACCCTGGTGTTGGTGTCATAGATATCCACCCCACTCCCCCAACCAGTTTCATCTTCAGAGACTAGCGTTACCTCCTTCCACACCTGGGGTGTAGTACTACCCAGGTATGGTTTCAAAAGGTCAATATGTACCACTATCGGTTTAGAAAGGGGTGACTTCTGTATTTTTTATTAACATCTGTCAAGTCTTTGCAAGACTTTGTACGGACCTCAGTCCAACCCTGTTCATAGCAGGTAAATAAATTCCCCTCTCTTTTGAGCCTCAATCATAATAGGTTTTCTGTCTAGTGGCTGCCTCCCCTAGCTTCATATGCACAAACTCAAATGCGACCCTTATCGCACCCTGTACCCATGACACATATTCTATATGTCATCTAGGCTCAGACTCTGCTGGTAATCCTATCATTATGTCCAATGGACACAAGATCTTTCTACCTAACATGACTTAAGGTTCCGTTTACACTTCGTGCTGCTGTGTCTAGTGGCCCTATATGCCATCATTTAATATGGTAAGTGGTAATCCCATTCATTAGTATTCTCATTTACAAAAGCAGACAACATCTCCACTAGAGTACGATTTAATCTCTCGACCAGTCCATCGGACTGAGGCCTGAATGGGGTGGTTCTGGGTCCGTATTCATGAAACTGTTCTCATGCTCAAGTGTGAAATTTGTGCTAAAGCCCAATTTCTTTTTCCTATTATAAATTCATAAAAAAGAGAGTTAAGCCAAAAAACTGTTTCCAATGTTTACATGTGACTTTTTGATCGTTTGACAAGATTTAAGCGAACTTCAAGAAAGTTGATTTGAGCACAGAATCCATGCTTGAGCATGAGAACGGTTTCATGACACATGCGGCACCCCTTCCTTGCATTCCCATTCGCACTAGGGCAGGGAGAACTGTTAAACCACCAGTGAAATTTTCACCTTAGATAAATGGGGAGATCATATATAGAAGTACAGTATAACCTGTCTAAACCAGCCCCTGTCTAATTCGAATCCCTGTATAAACCGACTGATATGTGGTCCCGGCATATTCCCTATATAATCATTAAACCCTGTATAAACCAGACACTATCCTAAAATTGCTCTCGGCCGGCTACATTGTTAACAAATTAGCACTATCCATTGTCAGGTCGTGTCACGGTGGACTGTGAGGCGCCCGATGGGTTATTTACCTGTGATTGTTATAACTTACGTGAGGTGATCGACGCCTACTCACAATCCATGCGAGATTTTATTATACAATATAGCGTGAACTTATTTGATATGTATTTTTGATAATAAATGACATACATGATTGTGGAGAGTTTAGTTGTAGCTTGGCTTCAGGATGAATCGTACATGCACACCATCCAAACAGAAAAAACGATTGTTGGGTTCAATGAAATTCCATCCCCGAAGTGGTCTCGGAAGGAATTAGATTTGGGAAACAAATTGAATTGTTAAAAACTTCGGAAATATTTCCAAAACCGACTCAAAAGGAACTTTCCAAACTGTATGCAAAACACATTTTTTTGTATTTTCAAAAGATGATATGCTGACCCTGTATAAACCAGACACCTGTGTAAACTGGCCAAATAGTTTGGTCCCTGTGACATCCGGTTAAGACATTCTGAAATGTTTCACTGAATTATAGTCATGTTTATTTTGGGGTTACTATTTGGATATTGTTAGTATAAGACTATTTCATATGTACCGGAGGTGGATAGAGAATTCCTCCCTCGAGATCATAAGTTGGGGTAAACCCTGAGGCTTTGCCGAGGGAGGAATTCTCTATCCACCTACCGTTATATATGAAAGAGTATTTTTCTCCCATATCTACCATTAACAATAAAATACTTCACCTCTCAATGCCCACAGACGGTCGCCATCTTCAGTTTTTTAAACACTTTCTCCGTGGTTTAAAAAAAAAAATAGCAGTAGAAATAAATTCTCCATACCCTCAAACCGCAACGTTGTTGCACGCATAAAAACAACACATTTCCATGATAACTAATAGTTGTTATTTAACTTTCTATTTTCCATACGGCATGTTGTGAGTGCCATCTTTGAACCTCATCGCTACATACTGTACATTTCATTTATTGCACAGAAAAATATAGTTCCTAATTTTAAATGGAAAACAAACTATGTTTTTGTTGTCAAATTTTGAATTCATGACTGATCATGGTATTAATTAAATTAATATAAATGAAATTATAGATACAATTAACCCTTAGGCTGCTACATTGATTTCTATATAAAGGGACGCCACTGCTGAATTAATTATTGAAATATAAATTAATTTACTTAATTTTTCAAATGCGCATAACTTGAAAAATATTTGTTATATGTGAATAAAAGTTACAGGAAAATTGTTCGTTATTGACTCTAGTTTATATTAACGTTTTCGATTCTAAAGATCATTTTAAAATTGATTTTGTCAGCAAATGTGATTGGAAAATGATAACAGAGATTATAAACTTCATTTATGACATAAGACGCTGTACATTTACACGGAGATTCTCAGGTAAAAAGGTCAGGTATTTCATCAAGAATTGCATGCGATTTGCTACAGGTTTCAGGTCGTTATTCAATATATTTATTGTCACAGTCGGCATATAGATATATCTTAGATACGGTCTAGTTTATGATTGAATCATCGATAAATAGTTTGAAGAAATCAATCGGCTCAAAACTTATCAATGTCAATGTTTAATTCGGCCTCACCTGCAGACGGTCCGCCGATATTTTCATGTTTGCGTTGGGCACAAAGCCGTTCATTGGAAAGTTACATATTATGTTACACTGAAGTATTTCCACATCAACCATGTCAAACCCTTTAAAACCTTTATTATCATCGTAGGTGACGCTGGAGAATAAATGTTCACCATCATATTTATCACTTCAATCTACACGTCCGCCATTTTTATGACATTTTTTTTCCGGTTTGAAATTCTCTCGCACATGATTATTACTAGGGTACATTGCCGGGAATATCGAAAGTAATGACAAAACAACCAATCAGAAGCCTTCTAATATACGCTTTCGGGTTTGGTATAGCAACAGTCCGCTTTCACACTTCCTGTTTACTGATCAAAAACCTACAGACTGCGCGCCACTATTGTGGTGCGTAGCACTGACGGCCCGACTTTTCGAAACCACTATTGTGGCACGTAGCAGCCTAAGGGTTAATGAATGGGACCCTTTCGGCTGTGACGTCACAAGTTCAATGCCCATTTTTAGTACTTCAGGGGCTGAAATATCACCCCCAGTTCCGGAAGTGTAAAAGTGCCAACTTCAGTGAGTCCATGTTTCCTGGCTGAACCAGACTGATGAGGGCACATTCCGTGAAAATATTTTCTCAGGACCCGAAAGCCCGGAGCAGTCTGATCTTCAAGGACCTCAGATGAAACTACACAATGGAAACATGGACATTATAACAAAACGTTTACCCGCTGTGCTTGATGCGACTGTTTCGTGCTACTCCGGTGACTGCTCCAAATGTAAACAGCATTCTGTGGTGTGCTCTGGGGGTGACAGTGACAACTGGTGGACACGCTCATTGTTCCTGAGTGCCAACAAAATGCATGACCTGCAGATGACAACAGATGATGAGATGTTAGTGCTGGAACTACTGAAGATGAAACGCAGCACCAAGACAGTCCAATCAATGCGACTCAACACATCCACCCAAAAGAATGAGGGATGTCACCGGACGCTGAATGTTTCCTTGCCAAAGTACCAGAATTTCGGAAGAAATGTCGAGGGACGGTTGGACAACACAGTTTTAGCCGAAAATAATACAGCGGGCAAGGCCACTGAGCAGAAAGTAGAACATCTTGGTGGAACTCTGAGTAAGGAGGTTATATATAGACATCAGCTGGACCTAATAAGGAAATTTATCAGCGCCAGCAATAGGACAAACCTGATGTCAAGAAGAGAAAACTTGAGTTGTTGGTGGAACAGCACAGGGAGCACACAAACAGGTTAAAGTCTGCCAGGAAGTCCGACTACAGGAAAGGTCAACTTGATCCAACACTGCATCGACCCAGGGGAGACAATCAACCTCAGGACCACCTGTATTGAGAGAAGAAGAAAAATGTAACAAAATAAAATACAAGTTACATAATATGACTACCTTAAGAAGGAACCTCCACGTGGTGGTAGTCGGACAATGTTGTATCTGTGTATACAATAGCTAATCCCCTCAAATTTTGTGTTGTGTTTTCAATCAAGCCACTTTTAATTTAAACATACAATTTCTAAAACCTACATGACCATAGCATAAATTTGAACTATAGCAATATTGCCTGTTATTATTAATGAAATGATGCTCTAAACTAATGTGATTTACAATTACACACAAACTATTGTGGCACAAATGGGAGCAATCGGGGCATATCACTTCTAATGTCTAATTTCTTATCGAAAACCATGAATGACAGTCTATGGGCATGTTTTTTTTCCATTTCAAATCCCTGGGATCTCTGAAACTGATCAGTCCATATTTTACATTCTTTGTTAATGGTCCCTGTCAGATTCTACATATTCCATTTTCTGCAATGATAACTGAATTTTCTAATATTCTGGATTGATACAATTCGAAGAATTCCTCCATTTTAACTTTTAAAAATCAGGTGTAGGAATACATAAAAACGCATAATATATGTAAATTTTAGTGTCTATATTTAAACACTATGCCATTAAAAAACAACAGTACCACGGGGCGGAACAAAATACGCCCATCAAATGCCATATAGTGTTATGTACTTTCTTACATTGAAATAAGATCTGCATCATTCTAAGAGTGGTTAACCGATATGCTATAAACAAGAGGCCAGGCCAATGGGCCTTCACGGTCACCTGATATATTTATAAGAGAGTTGATTTATGTTTTTAACATGACCTGGAATATTATTCAAAGTGACAAAAAACAATAAAACCACCTTATTCAATATCTAGCATACAGATTTAAGACTGAAAAGTATTTGAAACTAGCACCTCTGATTCTAAACAAGGAAAATGAAGAAATTTTAGCACACTGACTCCTTTGGGCCCCACCCTACAGCTCTTGGGGGTAGGGCTGGCTCAAAATGTTCAAAGTATCAAACTGTCAACTCAGGGTTACAATTCCAAGTTATTAACATGTAATATTCAAAGTATAATTTGCGATTATAAACCATAAAAAAAATTGCCCCCCCCCCCCCTCCTTCCCCAGGGGTAAACGTGAGACCTTAGCTAGGGTCATACAATTCACAATTTTGGTAGAGCACCTAAAATCCCTTCCATCTATGAAGAGTATTTGATTCTACCATATCAGGGCTGATATGTGAATACCATCAAACTGCTATCCAATACTAATAATGCTAACCCAAATTGAATTACATCTAACAGAAATTAAACAAATGTTGATCCAAAATGTGATTTCCCTATATAAACTATATTAAAGTTTACCCCCTCCCCAGGGGGAAACGTGAGACCCCGGGGTCATGAAATTCACAATTTTGGTGGGCACCTAAAGACCCCTCAGGCCCCTGGGGGCTGGGGACCATATAATTCACAATTTTGGTTGACCTTTGGCCATGGAAGGTTTCAGCAAAATTTCATTGAAATTGGTTCAGGGGTTTTGGAGAAGAAGTCGAAAATGTAAATTGTTTACGAACAGACGAAAGACGATGGACGACGACGAACAAAAGGCGATCGCAAAAGGTCACTTGAGACTTTGTCTCAGGTGACCTAAAACTGTAGGAAAAAATCAATTGTGACCTCAGTCCATATTTGAAATTATCATTTACTTGCTTGATATATCGACCTAAAAACATATGTGATACTGTACCATTCCAATTGTCCATATTGCCCGCCCGTGTAATAACCTATCGATATCAGCCCGCATATCTGGTGATTTCACTGCGCTTCCGGATATATCAGCCCACATCCGAGTCTTCCATTTATAAATATTCAATTCCCTTTGCCCAAAAATTCTAGTTCCCTTTGCCCAAAGATTCTCTAGAACAAGTTTGGTTAAAATCCCTTCAACGGTACAGAAGGAGAAGGATCTTTAATGTTTTCCTCTATTTCCCCTAATTGGCTCCACTCATCTGCCCCAAAGAAGGGGGTCCACACACCTCAGTTTATACAAAATTGATTTTTTTGTCCCTAAGCATGCTTCAGACTGCATTTGATTTAAATCCCTTCACGTGTATAGTAAGATAAATAAATACCTCTATTTCCCCTATTGGGCCCCGCCCCTATGCCCCCAGAGGGGCCACACCCTCCGTTTATACAAACATGAGTTTCCTTTGTCCAAACATGATCTAGGACAAATTTGGTCAAAATCCTTCTATTGGTTCAGAAGAAGAAGATTTTTAAAGATTTACCTATTTTCCCCCTATTTGGCCCCGCCCCTCTGCCCCCAGGGGGACCATACCCTCTGTTTATACAAAACTGAGAACCCTTTGGCCAATGATGCTCCAGACCAAATTTGGTCAAAATCCCTTCATCAGTACAAAAGGAGAAGGATCTTTGATGTTTTCCTCTTTTTTCCCTAATGGGCCCCACCCATCTGCCCCAAAGAAGGGGGCCCACACACCTCAGTTTATACAAAATTGATTCTTTTGTCCCTAATCATGCTTCAGACTGCCTTTGGTTTAAAGCCCTTTACTTGTATAGTAGGAGAAAAATAATTCCTCTATTTCCCCTATTGGGACCCGCCCCCAGAGGGGCCACACCCTCCGTTTATATAAACTTTAGTCCAAAGATGATCTAGGACAAATTTGGTCAAAATCGTTCTATTGGTTGAGAAGAAGGAGATTTTTAAAGATTTTCCTATTTTCCCCTATTTGGCCCCGCCCCTCTGACCCCAGGGGGACCATACTCTCCGTTTATACAAAACTGATAACCCTTTGGCCAATGATGTTACAGACCAAATTTGGTCAAAATCCTCCAAGCCGTTCAGGACTAGTAGCGTTTTAAAGGAAAAAGTTGCTGGTCGCCAGACGCTGCGCCATGGGATAAGCTCACTTGGCCCTTAGGGCCAGGTGAGCTAAAAATCACAGAATTGAGTGTAATGCTTGGGAAGTTTGTCAGCACACTTGCTATACCATTCTAAAGTTCCATGAGAGTTCATGTTCAAATCTTTTGATTCTGAGTTTACACATTGTAGATGGGTGTCAAGTTCTCCTCATATCTTCTCTAGCAGAGGAATAGGAATATTTACTGACTGTTCATACAGACCTGTTCCTTTAAGAGTGAGTGTCCTAATTCTGCAGGGTCTGGTCTGTTCCTCAATAGCAACTGTGTCAGGAGTTTCTAATTGGTTCTCTATGATGTGCAATGACATAAAGGCATTGACCAGTGTCTCGCTAGGGTGTAGACGGTACCTGTTAAAATTGTACATGGTCGAGATCTGTTTGACGATTGTCAAATTTTTCTCTATTCGGAGATGTGTATCATAATGAAGGCAGCTCTGATGTTATTCCAGAAAACTAACAAATACAATCAACAATTACACTGACCAGAAATTGGTAACTACAAGTATCATAGACAGTTTGATCAATATTATTATATACTAGCAAGAAGCATCAATTAGTATGCAAGGACTCTACTAAAGAAAACTAGAACTGTAAGCTAAAGGCTAACTAATACCCCCCGTTCCTATATAAACTAGACCTGTAAGCTAAAGGCTAAATAATACCACCCGTTCCTATTTAAACCAGAACAGTAAGCTAAAGGCTAACTAATACCCCCGTTCCTATATAAACCAGAACTGTAAGCTCAAGGCTAAATAATGGCAAAGCATTGCAAAGCAATCCATAGTCTCCCACCGGTAATGATTTCTATATTCACTGAGCCATACACTTAGAGTCACCTGCATGCCCCCGATTACTATTTCAACAATGTTGTTATCTTCCCTTGAATAGATTTCATTTGAATAACGTTTCGACTACAGAGTTGTGTTCCTTACATTGAAAATCTCCAATGATGAAAGTGTGGGGGAAACAAGCTGTCGTAACAATTTTTCTTACCCTGGACAGGTGTTTCCGCACTTTTACCGGTGTGAGATTTCCTTGTCTCACCCTAGGGTTGAGACGGGGGGATTCCCCTTTTCATAACAATGGCATGACATCACTTCAACAATACAATGACGTCACGTCAACAATCCATCAACGTCACGTCAACCCTGAATTTAGCATGAAATGTTCTCATTACATTGTGTATATGATACACTATGGTAGAACAGGGGAAGAGAAAAAGAATCATTCACCCCCTTGTGGGTGAGATAGGGGAATCTCAACCCTTAGGAGGGGAATCTCAACCCTTAGGGGAAGATTCTTAAGTTGCCAAACACTCGGCAAAGCCTAGTGTTTGGCAACTTAAGAATCTTCCCCCTCGGGTTGAGATTCTCCTATCTCACCCCCAAGGGGGTGAAAGATTCTATTAGTAAACAACGTCGTCGTGGCAGTCATGGCCGACACGCAAGCTTGAGGTAAAAACAGCTATTTTAAATGTAAACGAAATGCATTAACTGACAATAATAACAACGATGTCCAATATCAACTGCTAGACCATGACTGCGACGAAACAAAGTGACACTGGTTCACACATTGAAGAGACGCCGACTACTGAGGACCCTACTATTGACAATTTGACTGATGAGCCGACACTGACGTCCGATGAGGATCCCTCCAGTACTAGTGATCACGAATACGCCAATAAATTTTTAACCTGGTCGCAGGGTAGACGAGTGGTTGAACTTGCGGATTTATCTGATACCTGGACCAGAAAGGTTGTAAGGAATACGGTACTAGGCTACGATTGTGCAATACCCAACAGACCCTGGTCTGGGAAGTATTTTATACATACAAGTAAGTGTATCACACGACATCACAATAGTCAAGATTATATTTTATATTTGTGAAACATAAGTCCCAAATAACTGACTTTCTCCTATAAAAAGTGTTTGGTGTGGTGGAGAGATGCCACATAAAAAAATGAAGGAGTGAGTGCGTTATTCCGGTGTGTATATAAAATCGTCTACAAGTAGTACATGTATGTATTCAGTGTGAGGGTTGACGTGATGGTGGGGTTTCAGGGTATATATAAATGTGGCATTACCACGTCAAAAGGAAGAGAAACGTCAAAACAAGATATAATCTCTTACAACAACGCAAAAAAACATGAACTAGGAACCTTACATTGTTATGTCAAGTATATATACTGTAAAAGTGTAAACATATAGGGTGTAAACATATTATAAATATTGATAATTGAATAATCTGTTTTCAGTACACACAGATGAATTGCAAGGTAATCACAGACGTTCCAACTGGAAAGAAGCACAATTGCACCACAACATATGGGATGTCAACACTATAAACTTAGAGCTTGTAAGTACATATATCCCTGACATAAATAAGAAAGACCAAATATATCAAATATATAAAAAGGTGCAAGGTACAACCCATCATTGTATCCTATCAGTTATCTCCTTTCATATTATTATTAAGCTTATTATTGCTATATATTGTGATATTTTTTATATCACAATATGGTGTGTTGTTATCTGTTCATAGTATAAAAGTATATTATTGTTTTGTTCAGAATGTAAAAGTTTATTATTGTTGTTTATATTGTGATATTTTTTATATCACAACATAGTATGTTATTTGTACAGTATGTAGAAATGTATTATTGTTGTGTAAAAGTATGTGGAACTTTGTCACTGTTGTTCATTGGGACATGTTTGCTATGACACAGTAAAGTACATTGTTACTTGTACAGTATGTAGAAATGTATTATTGTTGTGTAAAAGTATGTGGAACTTTGTCACTGTTGTTCATTGGGACATTTTTGCTATGACACAGTAAAGTACATTGTTTGTTATAATGTTATTCATACACGAAGTACAATTTGTTTTATATTGGTAATTACAAGTAATTTTATTGGATTGTAATGCCTACTGTATTATATTTGTATACAAAAAGAACTATATTGTATGTTGTAAAATGTATATATATATATGACTTTTTGGGATTTATAATTATTATTGGAACAAATGTAAGAGTTGTCTCTCTATTTTTATTTTTTTTGTATCTTTGTATTTTTTTTGCAGAATAAGCAAGTCCACAAGATATTTATTTTTTGTCACCTATATTTATTTTCGTTGTCCGAAACGTGTTTAGCATTGGCACTCAGAATGTTATTGATTCATGTAATTGGTATTTTTACCGGTATTATTGTTAGAAAATTACGCAGTTTTTCGTGTGTTTGTTCATCAATGTTATCATTGTTATTATTTTTTATTTGTTATATTTCTAATAAACCATTGTTGCATCAAATAATATATGTATTGTTTCATTTTGTTCGATTAAAAAAAAAAATATCATAATTTCCCAAAAAATCTGAAGAAACTCCTACAGGTACTGTTACTGCACCAGTATTGCAGACCAAGGGTATCATACCACTGTTTCTATATCCTGACACCTCATATGGGTTATGGATTTGCTGATGCAATATTTTTAACAAATGTCCATAACTCCTTAAAAGGGGTCAAAATGAAAAATACTGCCCTGTTGCAGAACATCAGGTGGTAATTAACATATCTGTAAACTTTCATTGAAATCGGCCCAGTAGTTTAGACAAATAATTTTCTACAAAGGGACATAACTTCGTACGAAAGTGTCAGAATGAAAAAGCAATACCTTGATGCACAACTACAGGTGGTAGTTATCATATATATATGGAAAGTTTTGTTGAAATTGGTCCGTTACTTAAGAATGAGTTGTACGGAATATAACTTTTTCTACAGACGGACAGACAGATGGACGGGCTGATTAAAGCAAAGGTGTTTGAAATTCTCACTGCAAATTAAGATAAAAATCACATGAAATAAACATTTTCAAACACCTTTGACGAAAGTATGCCCCACTAACTTTGTTGCTGGGGGTATAATAAACCTCACATACATATATTCTAATATATCGTCTAGTCATCAGTTTCCGTGAATTATGTATTTCCGCGCAGCCATTTTATCAAGCTATATCTCGTAACTACGTGACCTGCTGGACACAAAACAAGGACATTTTAGACGTTTGGCCATCGTCTGTAAACTGACACAAAAATTACCGGAAGTTCGTCTGGAAAACATAAGAAATAATCACTGATTAAAAATACACGCATAAATATGCAGTTTTGTTTAATGCACTTTTTATCTTGCTCAAAATCAGCTCATACCAGAAAAAACGGTGATATATTTCATTCATGAACTGGTCTTTTTTGTAGTCTGACAAACGTACGAAAATGTTGAATGCAAATGAAGCCACATCTCCTCGCTGATTTTTTTCCATTTCCGAAGAGCCAAGGAGACATTCTTATATCGATAAACGGTGTTTTCAATGAAACGTTAACCTTGTAATGCAATGGACTTCCAATTTTCACAATTTTTAAACAGAACAAAATGAGAAATAACTCGCCAACAACCAAAACCGATATAAAACTGCAAAAAA